GCAGGTTTCTAAGGTTCTTCTTCTACGTATTAAAAAAGTTGTTAAACATCTGAGTGGCCCACTCCCACTACTAGTGGTGAGAAAGTGTATTGCACCTTATTCAAAATCAATGCAGTCCTGCGGCCCAAAGTTAAAAACTGTTGTTCTTTTGAGGCCCTCAAGGTGGCGCTTGCAGTCCATGGGTTAAGAATTTCTGATGAAAAGTATTGAAAGTAATTTCTCAAAACCAAAATATATATTTTTTAAAAAGAAGCTTGATTTATGATTAAGGGTGTATCCATACCAGGAAAAACCTTTGTTCCACTTGTTTGTCTGGACTAAAAGTGGACTTTATTTTGTTTGGTGTGGTTTGCATTCACATTATGCTTTTTGCAAGTGGACTATAAATTTTAAACAAAGCCTACAGTCGATTGTCATTACTCCCATTGGACAGAAATGATGGGGGGCAGGACAGAGCACAGACCCAGAAATAAAGATGGTGTTAATACAACTGCAAAACATTAAGAATTTCAAGAGCAGCTCATTCAATGGTGGTTTTGTGTTGATATGCTTCTACTTTTTGGACGGTGTTTGGAAATGCGTGCCGCAATCTAAAGGAGACAAGATGGCTCAATGTAGCACAGTGTTAGCATTAGCAATATTGAAGGGCTAATGTTGCTTAACAAAGGTGGCTCGTGAAGACCAAAAAGGCACGTTTCTTGTAGTTGTTTCGGTTTGAGGCTGGTCTGTATTCACACCAGAAAAAAAACGCACCAGAATTTGTGACTGTGAAGTGGACTGAGACCACCTCAAAAATGGGTCTCGGTCTGGTTGTTTGGTCCACACCAGGGCTCACATAAGTGTATTCACACCTGCATAAAAGATTTGGACCAACCGGGGAAACAAATTCTGGTCCGTTTATAGCAGTCCAAATGTGTCAGGTGTAAAAAAGAGTAAGGTTAAGGCTTAGGACTCTCTTAGGGTCAGCGGTCAGCTTCTCATCCAACAAAACCAGGATTGAGGTGATGTCTTCAAGCAGGTCTATTAGATCTGCTATTGAGTAAGGCTTCAAGTGACAGAATGTCTTTTTCCTTTATTCTCTTTAACTGTATTTAACTTTAGCTGCACTCTGCTTTGCTGTCTGAAAAAACAGTCCTAAGCAAAATCTTGTTTCCTTTTATTTCGATTACCAAACGAAAAAAAAAAAAGACACACCAGAGGAATGAGAATATTTGACACTGAACACTCAGTGAAACCCCGTGCCTTTTCAAGGCTTAGTTTTCAGCTTGTTATCAGCCAAACATTTTGGAGAAGGGGTCCATTCCTCTGCTGGTGATAAAGCTTTTCCTGTCCAAATACATCACTGCTAAAAAAAAAAAACAAAAGCAAAGAAAGATATGCTAAATCACTTGAATAATGTGTGGCTGCACGACGGCTCAGTGGTTAGCACTGATGTATCACAGCAAGAAGGTCCTGAGTTTGATCCCTGGTTCTGACCTGGGGTCTTTCTTTGTGGAGTTTGCATGTTCTGCTCGTGCTTGCGTGGGTTTTCTGCAGGTACTCTGGTTTAACTCACAGACCAAAAAATGTGTACAATAGGTTGTCTTCAGGCCGCCTTTACAAAAGAGACCATTGATCTCAGTGGGATTTCCCTGATTAAATAAAGGTTAATAAAAAATGTCTCATTGAGTAATTGGACAAATGATTATTAAACATCAATATTCATATTTCATAAGTTACATAATCAAACAGATTTAGTTGCTTTAATAAAGTTTTTAAAGCTTTTAAAAAATTAAAGCATCATCTATTTCTACTGATTAGGTATTCATGAATGGTAGAGTTTTAACTGTCAAGATTCAGTGAGATCAGAAAGAAGACTGACTCCACCAGTCAAAAAAATGACTAATTCATTACATACTGTTAAAGGCCCGTCACACGATGACATTTTAGACAACTTATGCCACTTTTGTCCAACACGTTGCTGTAAGTTGCACAAGTTAGGTGTAAGTTGTAAATATGCTGTCAGAAAGATGGCCAGACAATAATTTTTGGACTCGTTCAAAATTTGTCAGCTTATGACGACGTGCTGCTGATAAGTGAGGCATAAGTTATAGGTAAGCTACGGACAATTTATGCATCAGTTCACATATGTTTCATGTAAGTTATTCATTTGTTACTCAGAAGTGATATAAGTCCAACACCAGCGAAACACTTCTGAAGCAGCACGTAACTTTTTTTAAACCCCTGAGTAGCTACCGTCAATTAAGGCTCATGTGAAATCTAGTTTAACTTTTTCATAATGATTACTATGTATTATAATAATTATACAGGTAAATTAAGTGACCAAAATCAACAGAATTGATGCAAAAAATATATATTTTTTTATATTTCAGCAATAAATGCATTGATCAAAATAATGTTCCCGTCTGGTTTTAAATGCAAACAAGTTTATTTCGCCAGAAGCTTATTTAAAATCTTGTAATTCTGTATTAAATTAAAAATTTCAGATATTTATGATCAACTTTAAACCTGACACCACACCTTTACTGATCATAACCAACAAATATATGTTTTGCTGTTATATTGCTTAATTTTCAAAAGTAAAGCAACATCTGTGAATGACAGCGTCATGTGCAGCTGAGGGGAGCCGCACTTCGAGGCGCAGTGATCTGGGTGGGCTTCCCCAAAGGCTGAGCACGCTGTGCACCATTCAAACAGTTGCTCGTCACACTTTTGCTCTACTGCTTACAACATTTCACAAAATATAAAATATACTTCCACGTGTTCCTTTGGAGAAAACTACAACAAAATAAGCGTCGCCAAGTATAAACACCTCCACAGCTGGCGAGTGCGTGCACTAGTATCCAAAGCGCGACTCTCAACCGAGCCAGGCTGTGGGCTTCAGGTGCTCTGCGGCCACTGTGCTCTGTGGCTGATGATCAAATTGTGGCACAATAACTCCATGTGTGCCAGATCACACGCAGCTTTTGATTGATGTTGTTGCCGCAGCGGCTTGGGTTTCTGTTTTAAAGATCACCAGATTCGTCTCCTGCGCCCACCTCGTCCTCTCAGGTGAGAGGACATTTCTGTGGATCATCTTTTCTGCAGCTGGTTTAAAAATATCTGCCAGCTTTGTTTTGCTCTCTGCTAATTCTTTTTATATTTTAAAACTCAGTCTGACAGATACTGTATATTGTTTTTTATGAGCCCCGCTCTCGGACTTCTTCCCCGACATGTTGACAGCTGTCTGTCAATGATCGAAGGACACGCCCACAATTTCTGACAGAAGTTATGTCTCTGCTTCATTATTATTTCTGACAATTGTCCATGTATGAGCGACATTCATGTAACATGTGTGAATATACAACAGACCTGAACCAGATCTAGAACAGACCTGAAACGTATGTAAAACTGATCACCAACAATTCCACATACGGTGGAAATTTTGAAATGTTCAAAATTCTGCACTGGGATCTCCATATGACAACATATGCCCTCTTACATTAACATGTTGGTAAGTTATCCTAAAATAATGCCTAACTTCCATCAATGTGTTGTAGATATTTTCATAAGCTGATGCTGTGCATCACTGTGTGACGGCTGATGTCTCATTTTCCTCCATCACGTTCCACTGATGTTGCTGCAGAAGTCCAAACATGTTATAATAAGCTGGTACACGTTATGATTAAGGTAGGGATAATCTACTTATATGTTTTATATCTGTTCAAGTCATTAGGAACACGGTATGATCACATCCAAATAAAGGTGCTAATTGATGCTTTTTGTTTCTCTTCCTCAGCAGGTGCCAGTGTTGGAAAAAAATGTAGACGTTGTCTAAAACTTCATAGTGTGACAGGGCCTCAACATCAAGAAAAACAACAACAAAAAAAGAATAATTTATAAAGTAATAAAGACTGGCAGTGTTACCTGTCCACAGACTCCAGCTTTTCACAAAACACTGTCAGAACCACCACAACATCTTCACACAGAGCTTGGCTGGTTGGGGAAATATCTGCAAATACACATCCTACCATGGTGAGTACACAGCTGCTAATATTATATGAATACATATATACTAACACATGAACACTAAGTTATTAAAAACACATTTCTGCTCTTGGTCTATCACTCAGCTCAGGTTATTTACACTTTAACGTGTCACATTTTACAAAAACTATCTTAACTTGACTACCTTAATTATTTTCATGTTTTAAATAAAATAAAATGTCCTTGTTTTCACACAAGAACAAACATTAAATACACTAAACTTAAAGGTAACAAGACAATGAAACACCACAAGTCTTAAAGTAAAAATTAAGATTTAAAACAGTTAATATACTTAACAGTGTGAAAAACGTCACAACCTCCACCTAAACCAGGGCACAGAATGTATTAGATAAAGTAACAGATTTAAAAGGTACCAGGTGCCATGAAGACTGGTCAAAAAATGATTGTACTGTAAGAAACTAAATCTGCACTAATTGTTCCTGCAGTATATTCATGTTTATTGTGTGAGTTTAATTTTTAAATTCATAACCAAAAATTAGAGACAGCAGTAGTCTTCCCAACTGTTGTTTATTTATAGAAACAGCTGAAGTGACTGAAAATAGGCCAATAATAGGCCTGATTAATATTGTTACAGTATGTCTAACTGTGCTCTACGCTGTTTGTGTTGTGTCCTTGTTTTAACATGTTGTGACATTTTATGTTGTACGGTTTCCGCTTACCCAAGTCGTCATTGCAAATGAGAATTGATTCTCTGTTGACTTAACTGTTAAAATAAAGGTTATAATAATGTCAACGTCTATGGAAGTTTCAAATGGGATCCAGAAATTAGACAATTTTGATGTAATGGCGTTTATTTACGCACAGTTTTGTTGAGCAAAGTATGCACATAAATGTGCTTTGATTACTTTTAGCTTGTTAATTAGCTTTCAGGAAACATCTATGAGTGTTTATGTTTTAGTAACTTCACATCTTTATAAGGTGAGACCAACAGATATACGTATCATAGGCAGGACCTGGAATGGATCATGCCAATGACGGCATTCAGCTCTTTTGAGTACTTGACAGCAAATGGACACTACTTATATAATGCCATTCTATACAAACACAAATCCATTCATACAGCACTCTAGTATGTCTCCCTACAAAGTGAATCCAGACTAATCAATGCTTAAATCACATTCACACACTGATGGGACACAGCAGTCCCAAAACAAAGTCTGGTGATTTCAGGTTGTGGGGCCGACCTTCAGCTGGTTTGGGTAGAGCAGCCCTCACAAGCCTCCCTTTGACAGTTTAGGTGTCAGTACACATGAAGCACATACTCTGAAATGTTTGTCAGCATAAACATGAAAGCCATGAACCATGGTCCCACCCGTTTATCACTTCATCAAAATAAGAGTTAGTGTTAAAAATATTTATTTGTCAAACACAATATAAGCTTTTTAACACATTTATTGCAAACACACTGACATGTAGAATTTCGGTGAGGATAAAAATGCATTTTCACTCATGTCCTGATGCAGCTCAATAATTCAGGTAGAAAAATTGAAGAAAAGCTTAGTAGGTCATCTGGATGAGTTTGTTAGGTTGAGGTTCCTCCTTTGTAGATGAACAAACAGTTTTGGTTGCCATCGTTAACTTGTTTACACTTCATGTGGAAGCATTGCTTATAAGACTGAGTTCACCTGTAAGTCTCTTGGTACATTTATACACTTCCCTGACAATGTGACACACACTCTTCTCTGTGGTCTTTGTTTCTGATAACGACACAGACAGAGCTCGTAACTATAACTTGCTTTGGGTGCCATGTTGGGTGAAAACTGCGAAGCGAACTGAGGTTTGTAGGATGTTGGCATAAATAATGTGAATGAGTTAGAATACAGCTGTGCAAACTGTAAAATATGTAAAAATGGGTGGTGATTTTCAAATGTTGGCCAGGAAAAACACAGCCACTCAGCTCACTGGTCACAAGAACTCAGAATTCAGTCAGACTGCAATTATCCTATTTTCTAGCTATTTTGATTTGCCAGCTAGTTTCAAACAGGCACAGCCCATTGAGATTCTACACAGTTCTCTGAACTCTAGCAAACTGAGTAGAAATAATGGGCCTCATGCAAGAACATGTTCGTATCCTTATCCTAAATTTCTCTTACTTTTGTTCGTACAAAGGGTTCGTACGAACATGTCACATCAGATTCAACAAACTCTTCTATCTTCAGGAAAAGGGTGTAAATGAGCTGCGTAAATTCCACCTGTTCTATCCAGCTGCTCGTGCACGCGAGAGGAGATTAGCATAATTACCACCCCAAAAACACCATATAAGGCTATGTTTCCTGCCTCAGATATCAGGAAGTGTCCATTTTCACTGCCTTTTGTATTGCAAAGAAAACAATACTCCTGAATTGGAAAAATAAAAACGCTATTAGTATTAACC